CCCTTCCCAGGCCCCTATCTCGCAGGGCCACCCATCCTGCCAGAGCCCTTCTGGTGCAGTGCGGGAGGTGGGGCGGAAACCTGAGTCTTTGTCCTCAGTCAGGTGGCTTCGACCTTCCCCCGCCCGTCAGGTGGACGCCAAACTCCCCTTGGCCCAGAAGGCCTTGCAGGGCAGGCTCGGCGATGCACTCTGCTATGGTAGGCAGGCCAGATGCGATGATTCTGAAAGGCTCCCAGGCCCTTCCCGCCTCAGAGCCTTTGCACCTGCTGCTTCCTCTGAATCAAAGCTCCTCCAGGTCACACACTGATTTTTCACGGGGCTGGAAAGGTAGAGGCTTAGAGCAGCTCCTCCTGACATCCTCCCTAACGTCCCACCCGCCACCGCCTCTCCACCAGTGGTTCTCAACCTTGGCTGCACATTAGAATCACCTGGGAATCTTTTTAAAATCCTGATTTCTGGGCCTCATCCTTCGGAAATTCTGTTTCTTTGTTATGGGGTTGGGACCACAACATTAGTAACAAAAAACAGAATTTCCGGAGGATGAGGCCCAGAAATCAGGATTTTAAAAGGATTCCCAGGTGATTCTAATGTGCAGTCAAGGTTGAGAACCACTGCTCTACACCTTTGCTCTCTCTGTTCTGAGTTCTTGAAAGACGGTTCACATCTTTCCTAACTCTCTCTCTCTCCTCTCTCTCTCTCTGCCAGGTTTGGTAATTCTTATTCTCTCTTAACTAGAATTTCAGCCCATTGCGGGTGGGACTCTGCTGCTACTCAAGCACACAGTAGGTGGGTAGGTGGGTGAGTGGGTGAGCGAAGGCCCCCAGAGTGGGCAGGGCAGTGATTCTCTCCCCATCTCACAGGTACAGCTGAGGTCCATCTGGGTAGAACCCAGGGCTCACGCCATGTACCACCTGCCCCCGGCAAGGTGACTGGGTGATACCAAACAAGTTTGGCTGCCTGCCGCTCAAAAGCCAATAATCAAGAGACAAGGGCTGGTGGAAGGAAAGTAAGTTTATTAAAGAGCCAGCAGTTTGAGAAGCGACTCAGGTCACAGACCATCTTAACGTCTCAGCACAGGCAGGCAGGTGCTTTTATAAGGCGGGAGACAGAACGAAATAAAAACCAGAGGGATCGAAAGAGTTCTCCATGGAGGGAGTCCAGGCAGGCCAACAGGCTGTTCCTCTGACAACCGGTTGAAGGCCAGCAAATCACCCTGAGCCGAAATGCCTGAAGGTCAGAGTCTGCTTCTTTTTTAAAAAACGATATTTTTGTTGATTTTTTTCTTTTTTTGAGAGAAAGAGAGGGAGAGAGAGAAACAGAAACATCAAGAACAGAGGCACATTGATCAGCTGCCTCCTGCACAGCCCCTACTGGGGATCGAACCCACAACCCAGGCACGTGCCCTGACCAGGAATCAAACGGGATGCGTGGGATGATGCTCAGCCACTAGGCCACACTGGCCAGGGCAGTTCGCTTCTTGTGAAATTAGCTCCTAGCATTCTTAAGCAAACAGGCTACTTATCAGCAATCACATATTAGTTGACAGGTCACATTTACAGAAATAATGTTAACAGATTGGTGGAGTGAGGTGCATAGGGATCCTGAGGGGAGCCCACAGGAGGGCCCCACCTTCTTCTCCCAGCAACCTGCTCTGCCTTCCCAGGTTCCAGCAAGGCGGAAGTCAGGACTGGTCAGGTGGAAGGACCATGGTGACATGAACTCAGCTTCTGCAGGAAGCGGAGAGTGAGAGAGGCAGGGGCAGCTGGCCTGGAGTCATAGGGCTGCCAGATGAGAGACAGGACAACAGGTAAATTTGAATTTGAGATAAACAACTGATAATTTTTAAATATGTCCCAAATATTTCATGGGACATATTTAAAAATTATCAGTTGTTTATCTGAAGTTCCATTTCTCTGGGCTCCCCTATTTTTACTTGCTCGATCAGGCAACCCTATCAGGGGGGAATGGCAGGGCCATTGCCAGGTGCCAGGTGGGCAGACCTGAGGGACTAGCAGGATCTTAGGGAGTGTCACCCCCGGGGAGTGCGAGGCTGAGGATGAGGAGAGGCTGCTGGCCCGGGAATGACAGGCCTGGGGTGCCACTCCCAGCCTGCCCGATGGGAGAATGGGTGTAGCTCAGGGCCTTTTCCAGCCCCAGGTCTGATCACACACACATCCTGCTCTCACTATTGAACTCTGTGCCAAGTGCCCGTTTCCCACAGGATAAAGAGCAGAACATCCGTGTGGCCGGACCCAGGCACAGTTCAGCCATGCCCACACCTCCTGCCTCCCCAGCCATGGTCCGGGCTGCAGTACTCAGCCACGTCGGTTCACACCCAAGCTCCTGCCTCCTGGTCCAGGTGTCTGAGGTCCCACCTGGGGGGAAGGGCTGGGCACGGCCCCCTGCCCCAGATGTGTTTGTCCCAGATACAAGCCGTGTGGGGCCCACGGCAGGTGCTCAGGAAACAGCCAACTGAGCTGGATGTGCAGTGCCCATTCCTCTATGAAGACAGATGCCCTTCAGTGGGCGTGACTCTGGCATGAGGCTCACCCCCTGTGTTCTGCAAGGCCCATGGGGGTTCCTAGGACCCCAGGCCTCTCTGCTGACGACCACAAGTCCCTATCACCAAGGCCACTGTTCTCTGAGCCCCTATTCAGAGGAGGCAGTTTACACGTGTTTTCTCTGGTCGAGGCAAAGTCCCTGCTGGGTGGGGGTAGGTATGGCCCCATTTCACAGATGTGGAGACTGAGGGCAGAGAGGTGAAATCTCCTCAAAGCCACCCAACCAGGGAGTGGTGAAGCCACTTTCCCAGCCAGGCCTGCCCAGCTCCAGGTGTTGACCTTCAAGGGCCATCCAGAGGCCAGTGGCTGCCTAGGCCTGGAGCCCCTCCCCTGAGTGGTTCTGGCTCCAGGGCCAGGGCTCAGAGACGGGGCTGCTCCTCACAGCGCTGCTCCCCACCCCCTTCTGGGCCAAGACGAGCAGAGGGTGGCTTGTGTGCGCATACTCAGTGGTACCAGCGTGAGGAGAAGTCAGTATTTCCCAAAAGCCTCTGATCCCAAGAACTCCCCGGGGCCCTCGTGAAAAGCAGATTCCCAGGCGTGGGCCTGGTGATTCCGAAGCCTGGGGTGGGGGCCTGGAATCTGCCTCTTAACCAGCAGCCTCCGGTGACTCCATTGCAACTGGTTTCAGAGTCAATGATGAATTCCCTGGAGAACCTCAGGCTCTCTGCCCTCACCCCAAATTCCGCAATGACCCCAGGGCCATCCTGGTGTGTGGGCAGGGAGGGTGCTCTCTCCTGGGTGGGGAGACTGGGCCTCCCAGGTCTGGCCCCGCCATCTGCATCCTCAGCCTGTGCCCCCAGATGGACAGGTTGGGGGTTGGAGAGAACGGCATGACCCACTGCTTGTGGGGTGACCTCCACGTGCTGGGAGCTGTGGCTGTTTCTCGAGGCACCCCTTATCCGATGGCTGACAATGAATGGCAGTTGGTCCCCAAAGGGGGCTTCCAAGGGGGTTTTCCTGCCTCTTCACCCCGTTCGGGACTCTCTGAGCCCCAACTCAACAGATACCAACAGCTGGTGATTCTCGGGGTAGGAGAAAAAGCCCCTAAATGTTCTGCAACGGTTTCTCACCTCCACCTGCCCCCGCAGCTCCTCCCAGGCAGCTGGGGCCCAGCCTCTCAGTATGACACTCTTTTGTGCCTGGAGCCAGCTTTGGGTTAGAAGAGCCAATAGCCTTTCTAGGAAATCAGGCTTTGGTGGTTGAGTCATTACAGTGGGAAGGGTGGTCCAGAGGCCGGTGGCATCAGCGTCACCTGAGAGCTTGTTAGAGCTGCAGCACCTAGGCCCCACCCAGACCCCCTGCCCCCTAAAGACGGCATTCTAGCCCAGTGGCTCTCAACCTTGGCTGCACATTAGAATCACCTGGGAATCTTTTTAAAATCCTGATTTCTGGGCCTCATCCTCCGGACATTCTGTTTCTTTGTTACTAATGTTGTGGCCCCACCCCATAACAAAGAAACAGAATTTCCGGAGGATGAAGCCCAGAAATCAGGATTTTAAAAAGATTCCCAGGTGATTCTAATGTGCAGACAAGGTTGAGAACCACTGATCTAGCCCCACGTACCCTCCCTCCACACATGCCCGCGGGCCTTTTGTGGGTCAGTTTATTTCATTTATTAGGGGATGAAGGGGAACCTACCCAGAGATCAGAACTTAGGCAGCTCTGCTTCCTCCTCTCCTCCTAGCACATCCCAGGCCGATCACTAGGGGGGCAGCAGAGGTTGAGTGTGTCAGATGCTTGTGCCCGCAGCCCTTCTCTGGGTCACCAGGGGTGGGGGACAGGCCCCTATTGCCTGTGGCAGGAGGGCAAAGGGCAGGACTAGGGTGTTGGCGTCTGGACTCTCAGCTGGGCCAGGAAAGACTTTCAGGTGGCAAGCCTTTCTTCCTGGGAGATACCGGGAAACACTATTACTGCCAATAGCAGTCACTTTGTGCTCAGTATGTGTCTGGCACCCGGATGCATGCAGCTGTCACTGTGGTCAGCAGTGATTCCCAAGCTGTGGCTGCAGCAGCGTCTGCTGAGAACGGCAGATTCCAGGACCCCACTGCAGGCTTCTCCATCTCCAGGGCCAGGCCCGGGAATCTGCTTTTACTAAGGAGCCTGGGAAATTCTTGGGATCAGAGGCTTTTGGGAAACACTGACTTCTCCAAACTCTGAGTGGGGCTGCCCAACACTGACATTCATTCATTCACTCATTCACTCGCTCATTGGAAACTTATGGAACATCCACCTCATTCACTGATCCAGCCCCTGTGTTCCTCCCAGGATCACTGTTCAAGGTGCCCAAGTCCCCCTCTGAGTCCAAATAGCCCCCTCCCTTCCACCGCTCTGTCTGCACCCCATTTCTCCACTCCCCAACGAGTACCCGGGCCAGGGGCCCTCCAGGCCCCGCCCCATCCCGCACGGGGGAGCCCACCTCCCAGCCCGCGACTGCGCTCTGGGCCCGCGCGCCCCGCCCCCACAGGAGACCTGCGCGGAGGCGGCACCGCGGCCGCAGGCTGTGACCCCCCCAGGTCTGCGGCCAGTGGCCTGAGGGGCATCCCGGCTTTTTCGCGGCGAGAGGCGGAGCCGGAGCCCAGGACTGGGTCCAGGTGGGCTCAAGGGAGGATGAAGCAGGTAGGGCCGCAGGGATGCTGGGCGTGGAAGGATGATGGTGAGGATGGGAGGAGCCTGCGGGAGCGCTGGGGAAACAAGGAGGAGGAGGAGGGATGCGCGAGGCGGGGGCCTGGGCCTGGCTGGACCCCAAATGGCCTTGAGTTGCAGCCGAAAGGGAGGGGCCCGGTCTGCAGGGAGGATGAGGGTGGGCTCTGCACCACGGGTGGGCGGGTCTGTCACTCGCCTTTGGTGTGTCCCCCACCCCCACTTCCACCCCCATCCCAGGCCCTGGTGGACGACACTGAGGATGTGTCCTTGGACTTTGGCAACGAAGAGGAGTTGGCCTTTCGGAAAGCCAAGATCAGGTATGTTTGGACTGGCTGTGGGCAGGAATCCCCCAAAGCTGCAAATTCATTCCACCTTCATTCATTCACTCACTCATTCATTCAGAATGTATTGAGCACCTAGTGTGTGCCAGGCATGGGCTAGAGACACACCCTGGACAGATCAAAGTTCCTGCCCTCCTGGCAGGAGGCTGGAGAGGCGGACAAGGGCTTGGAGCCTGCAGTCTAGGGTGGGGGGGGGGGGGGGACCTAACATTGAACAGGCAAACAAAGATATTTGGGGGGAAGTCAACAGTGTGATTGAAAAAAGGGAAAGTGACTGGGCAAGACCACTTGCCTTAGCACAGTCAGGGAGGGCATCTCTGGAGAGGTGACATTTGAGCTGAGACCTGAATGAGGAAATTTCCACCAGGAGGAACAGCAGGTACAAAGACCCTAAGGCCGTGTTGGAAGGTCAGAGAAAACCATCTATGTCTGGAGGGTGATGGGAGAGGAGAAAGGGCTTGGCAGGAGGCTGGAGAGGTGGGCAGCTTGGATTTCTATTCTAACCCCTGCTTTAGTTCCAGCCAGCCAGGCAGTCCTGGGTCGAATCACTTCCTGCCTGAGGCGCGGCATCACAGAAAGTGGCAGGACTAAGGTGTGAAAAATGACCCATGAACGTGATTGCTGATGACCCAGCAGCTGCCACATTGGAAACACCCAAAGCTCAGCCGCACTCACTCACCTGTGCTCCGTCTCTCCTCCCGGCCATCAGAGCCAGCAGGCGTGGGGGCCTGGCACCTACATGCCATTCCTTTTACGTTCTCTGATCCAAATCCAAGAAACCTCAGAATGAGATAGGACAGTATTAGCTTCCCAGGGCCACTGTAACAAATCACCATAAACTCGTTGGCTTAAAACAACAGAAATGTATTTTCTGACAGTTTTGGAGGCCAGAAGTCCAAGATCAGTTTCACGGGCTGAAACCAGTGTGTCCGCAGGGCCACACTCGCTCTGGAGGCCCAGGGGGGAAGATCTGTCCTTCGTCTTTTCCGGATCTGGTGGCTGCCAGCTTGAGGCCCTTCTTCCATACTCGAGGCCAGTAGTGTTGCATCTTCAAATACTCTCTGCCCCATTCTCACATTACCTTTTTCCTCTGTGTCAAATCCCTTTGCCTTCCTCTTGTAGGGTTACTTGTAGTGCATTTAAGGGCCGGCTGTATGGTCTGGGATAACTTTCCCATCTCAGCCAACTTAATCACATCTGCAAGGTCCCTTCTGCCACATGTGGTAACCCTCACAGGTTCCGGGGAGTAGGACCTCCATGTTTTGGGGGGCATTATTCAGCCTACCATAATGATCAGAGAAAGACATTGTGAAAGAACTGGGATCCTGGGGCAAGAATCTTATACAGCATCTAAGCTCAGTGTTTATTGAGCACCTCCTGTATGCCGACTCTGGGCTGGTGACTGGGACTATGTGGTATAAGGACACCTCCCCCGGCCTTTATGGAGTTGCCCAGTCGAGAGCAGAGATGGTCAGCCTCGACACTGCCAACATTCTGGGCCAGGCACTTGTTGCTATAGGGACCGTCCCGGGCATTGGAGGATGGTTAGCAGCATCTCTTGCTCCTACTCACCAGATGCCAGAAGCACCCACCAATAATGTCTCCAGACACTGCCAAATGTCCCCCCAGAGGCAAACTTGCCCTCATTGAAAACCAGTGGTGTGGGGTATAGGGTGTAGGTATGCCAGTGGCTGCTACGACAGTGTTTCATGCTTGGGCACTTGTCCTGGGCAAGGGAAGAAGTGACAGCTGAGCTGAGACCTGAGGAATGGGGGTGGGGGTGGAGGGTAATTAGCTAAAGCAGGGAAAAAGATGGGGTGTCACAAGCACAGGCTTAGAGTTAAGATAAGTTTAGGGAGCTGAGAGTGGTTTACTGGCGAGCAGTCTGGGCAGAGACTGGGGCCCACACCCTGAAGGGCTTATACTTACGGATGTGTGAATTCTGTTAGAATGGGAATCTACTATATCTGTGCTGTCAAATAGGGTAGCCACCAGACACATGTGGCTGCTGACACTTGATCTGTGCTGGTGTAACCAAGGGCCTTCCAGCCGGGTCTTTTAGCTTTAATACGCTGACTGCTGTTCACTTTAGCCTCCAGCATTAAATAGCCCCAGCGGCTACCCTACTGCACAGTGCAGTTCTAGAGGTGGAATTCGTACAGGGCAGTGACACGATCAGAATCCTAACTGGAACGAAAGAAGGATACAAGGCCGTGACACGGCATCTTCATCTCCTTGGGAGATCCAGCCCCCACCCCACACACATTCCTGGTGTCGGTTACCTACATGGGCCAGGTCGGGCCACCAGAGGCCAAGGCCAGGGTGTTGTGGGTCACCCTGAAGCCTAGAAGCTTCAACCTCTGCTTCCTGCAAACCTTTCTATGACTCTGTTCACCGAGACGGCTACCTGCCTGTCAGCTCAGCTCCTCCAACCCAGGGGCTGTTCCACGCAGGTCACTCCCAGGCAAGCCTGGTGTTTACCCTTTGTTTACAGTGACCTTGAACAAGTCAGGGCACCTTCCGGATCCCCATTTTCTCATTTGTAAAATGAGGAAGACGTTAGTCCCATCGTAGGGTTGTATAAAGAGGACTAAATCAAGTGACAAACTTATGTAACAAGACCGTGAGAGCCCTGACCCTCATGTGGGCTCCATAAATGGTACCTGTTATCTGACCCCAAGTGGGACTTCTGTGTCCTTGGGGCAGAGGCACGTCCTCGGCTGGAACAGGACGTCGCGCTGGGGTTGTCCTTGGAGTGGGAGACTGTCCCTCCTGTGGAAAGTTTATGCTTTGAAGGCACTGGCTTCACAAATTCATTTAGACCAGTGGTTCTCAACCTTCCTAATGCCGCGACCCTTTAATACAGTTCCTCATGTTGTGGTGACCCCCAACCATAAAATTATTTTTGTTGCTACTTCATAACTGTAATTTTGCTACTGTTATGAATCTTAATGTAAATATCTGATATGCAGGATGTATTTAGGCGACCTCTGTGAAAGGGTTGTTCGACCCCAAAAGGGTCTTGACCCACAGGTTGAGAACCGCTGATTTAGGTCATGGATTCCCACCCAAAGCAGGATGGTCTCCTCTGGCCTCAGACGGGTTCCTTGGACCTGATTTGGGTGGGAATTGTTAGGGCTGGTTTGGTCAGCGTTTCGTGCTTGGTCCTCACTCAGCCCAGGGGGCATCCAATGAGAAGAACGCCAAGGGGAGTCACATGTTAGTGGGGACCAGGTCCCCAGGCAAGACCCACATGAAATCAAAACTATCTTTGCAAATCCCTAACCAGTGTCTCCAGTAGAATGACATTTTGTCTTTCAAGTAGTCTTTCATGTCAATTTATCTTCCCATGTTGGATATAAAAGCTGTTCCTCAAAATGAGCTGTGGAGGAAATTGTTGGCTGTGTTTTAGGGGAAGTGATTTTGAATGAAAAACAGTAATAGCAAACACTTTCCTAGCACTTATATGCAGGAACTATTCTAGGTGTTTTGCTCATTATAATTCATTTAATCTGTATTACAAACCTATGAGGTAGACGCTCTGATTTTTATTGGTTTCAGGATGAAAGAAATTGAGGGAAAGAGTTGAGTGACTTGCCAAATGTCACACAGCTGTTAAGTGGCAGGGTGGGGAGTTAGGCTCTCTAGAGCAAGCATGTCAAACTCAAAGGTGAAGACGGGCCAAATAAACAAGGTTTAAGTTTCTTTGGGCCACAAAAATAACAAAAGCTTCAATTTTCAAATTTCAAATAAACCAAAGAAACGTAAGTTTATTTCGATAGAGACATGCTGAATACAAAGGGTTGAAATAAGTGAGTAATGTTAACATAAAATAATAGAATATTTTTATAAAAATTAGTACTTTTTCTTGAACATTAATTTACCAGACACTGAATAACTGCACAAATTAATGAGGGTAATGCAAATAAACCTGTTTTTCTTGTTCTCTGAAAGTGAAATATTTTCTGTTACGCACACCAAACAAGTCAGTCCAAGATTAATGATGTGGCCATCGGCTGCTAAAATATTTGCTGCTAGTATTAGTGGAGAGAAATGGAGCGCCTGCGCATAAGTAGTGTAAGAGAAATGAATGCAACACAATTATAGTAATCAGTCATTAGCGAGCGTTGTAGTTTGTTATTAGTAATTATGTATAACAGGATATTGTCAAAATTAAGTTATGAATTTTTATTAAAACGTTTCTTGCATACTGTTATATTGGTTGGGCCGCGAAAATATTCGTTGTGGGCCGCTTGTGGCCCGCAGGCCGCAAGTTTGACATGCTTGCTGTAGAGCAGGGGTGGGCAAACTTTTTGACTCAAGGGCCACAATGGGTTCTTAAACAAAAGCATGGATGGAGTGTTTGTGTGAACTAATATAAATTCAAAGTAAACATCATTACAGAAAAGGGTACGGTCTTTTTTTTTTTAGTTTTATTCATTTCAAACGGGCCGGATCCGGCCGCGGGCTGTAGTTTGCCCACGGCTGGCTGTAGAGTCTGACCTCATATTACATTGTGCTTAGGAGCAACACAGGGGTGAGCTCTGCAGCGGGAGCAGCATTTCCAGGGCTTTGGTCTTATGCCTCACTCCCCTCCCCTTTTAGAACTGGCTTTCTAAGCCTTGGCTCTGTTTATATTGGGGCTGAGTAATTCTCTGTGTGGGGCCGTCCTGTGCCCTGCAGGGCTTCACAGGATCCCTGGTCTCCACCCACTAAGTCCCAGCAGCACTGCTCCCCTCTTTCCAGAGTTGTGAGGTGAGGTATATTCCCAGGGGCAAAGTGACCCTGGTTGAGAACCCTGACTTAGGTTATTATCTCTTTCTCTAGGGTGTGGATTTGGATAAGTTAAATTTGTATTTAAAGGAACTCCTTGCATTCCTGACACCTCTGTGTTTGACACTGACCGAGGGAAGCCGCTGGGGTAGGGGACAAGGAAGGAGAGGGGACAGGTTATGGTACAGATGTTACATTAGTGG